ATTAAAATATAAAATAATATTTTTCTGATAATAATTAAGACAAAGCAAAGAAAACCATGGTCTTGACTGTTGCTTTTCAGCTGAGTATATTTGAATATATCTCATATCTTTGGTTAGTAAGCTGTGAAGTGTCTAATTACCTTGGAAAATCGTAATCCTGCTCCCTCACCTGTCCCTCTGCCCCTGCCACGTGTTCCTGTCCCCTGGCTTTGGGTCTGTGGTAGCGGTTACACAGTGCTGAGGTAAGTTGGAGCTGTGCTATGATCTCCTGGAAGGTGTTTGTGGGGGAGCTTGTGTTGAGCCAAGGCTGTGTTGAACCAGCTCATCTTGTGGCTGTTGAGGGGGTAGAGCTCAGGAGAGGAATTTTGGAGTAGAGCTCAGGAGAGAAATGAGAGGTAAAGGAAGGAGCAGGACCTTCCATTTAGCAGAAATTGCTGTTAAATTGAAATAGATGTAATGAAAAAGCATGGCCATGTGGACCTAGTGCAGTATAGTTTGCATTCACACAAAATGTTATGGGTGAGTGCTAGGGTTTGGTTTTCCTTTTTTTCCCCCAAACAGTAGGCCTTCCAGTTTCTTATATTGTAAAAATATTTTTATTGAAAGAAAATGATAAGAATCTCAACATATTGTGGTATTTAATTCTGCCTGGTTCATAGTAAAAGCTGTTAACATTTGGATTAAAAAAAATAAAATCAAGGTTACCCTTGTTTCAGCTAAAGCTGGTGGGAACCAAGAGAAGTGTACTCATATACACATGATTCACTTCTTGTTGAATCACTGGATTGTTATATTATCTGTGCAATCAGAAAATCTTCTCAAAAGCTTGAACAGAAATACTGAGCCATTTTGCAGTTGGTAGCTTTTCTTTGGTTTGGAACAAGTATCAGACTCGAGCTTGCTCACAGATTAGTATGCATATTCCTCAGCAGGAGCTTGAATTCTTTTGTCGGCTTGGAAGGAATTTAAATCTGTCGTTCTTCTCAAAAGTATTTACTCTAAGATATATTTAATTTGAGTAGTTAATATGAGATGTGCCTGCAATTACATTTTTTTCACACACCTTGGAAGGAGGGGAGTGTTAGTATTTGTGCTATCGGTTTGGATCAAGTTTCCTTCTAGGAAACAGCTCCCAATCCCCTGCTGTTGCCTAGACTGAAGTCCCTTCAGAGTAGCACCATGGTGAGTTTTTTCCCAGGTTTCCTTTATCCTGGTGATGCTTCCACAGCTAGCGTGGAAGGAGTGATCACAGCAGTGTGCACCCCAAGCAGAGCGACACGGGCCCGTGTCCTTTCCCTGCTGGCCTGGTCCTGCAGTGCTCAGCTGGAAGGTCTCGAGCTCTCAAGTTCCTCCCTGTTGCACCTTCTGTTTCCGCACAGAGTGCACATCTCCCGTGGGCTGCACCCGGAGCGTGCCCTCAGCGGGAGACTGTGCGGGCTCCCATGTTGGGCTGTGGGATGGATCTGGTGCCCTCCGGTATGTCTTAACAAAATATTCCTAAAAAAATCTTAACTAAAAGCTTAATATCTCTTTGGGCTGGCAGAGAGGTTCCAGGGAGAGGAGTCTGTAGTCCTTCCCAACTGCTTCTGAGGATGCTGAGGACTGTGGTGGTGCTGAGCAGGGAGCTGTGTGCAGGACAGCCTCGGCCAGGCAGGGTGGAGGGACTGTGTGACAAGGCCTGGGGGTGAGCCAAGCAGGGCACAGGGGTTAGAAATGAGTTAGGAATTGATCTAAATACTCAGTGATGTTGATGCTTGAGGGGGGACTAGCCAGGGCCAGCATGGGTGTGGGGTGGGTCAGCTCGGCTGGGGAACAGGGCTCATTCCCTGAAGCAGATCATGAAGAGTCTACCAGTGGCATCTGTCACTTGGTTGCCAATTTCCAAAGTGTGATACATTTAGTAACAAACATAAATGTTAATGTTAAACTGTGTGATGGGTGGAGATGTCCTGCTTTCTTAAAAATGGGGAGGGAGGTGGTTAATAACTGTTACAGTAGCTTATACTGTGTGTACTCCAGACTGGTGAGAAAGTGAGAGAAGCATCAGTGCTTTGCTGCTTGCTGTTCTACTGAAGCCTTGTTCCTTGTGCTGGGGGCTGCTCTTTGTAGAGCTGATACGATAGTGATAGAGCCAGCATATGGTGCTGTCAGCCAAAAGCAACAGCCGCTCGATATTTGCTGTATGGATCAGAACCTAGCGTTCAGGCCAGCTGAGTGTCCCTTTAATCGACTTAATCAGGGAAATGTGACTCAGGTTATTCCCTGGTTGAGACCTTGCACTGTATTTTTGGAGAGACTAGCAGCTGAGTGTTACGGTTAACGGTTAACTCCATTACTGGTTCCGTACAAGGTGTCTGAGCGCACTGCCTGCCACAAAAGGCTCCTTATCAAAGTTAACAGGGACGATCTATTCACAGAGGAGTTTTTCCTGGAGCGATTTTTTGAAGAAAATGCAAAAGTAACTTCAAAATAGTTGACAAACACACTTCTAAAACATGTAATTTCTCTTTGTAAATTATGATTCCAATTTAGCAAAATGTGTGTCTAGTCAAGTTGGCTTTCTTCTGGAGCTGTAAGCAAAGTGTTTTCAGTGCCGAGGCAGCACTCTGACAGCAAGCTGAGAGTGAGGAGCAGGCATTGCCTTGTGTATACAGTTAGCTGTCCGTGATGATTGTTTAGATGTTTGCCTGGTGCTTGTCTGCATCAAACAGGACATCCTGAGCACAATTATTTTGTTGCAGTGTCTGCAGGCCCTCTCAGTATTCGGGCTGGGCTGATACTGTGCTGTGGTCTTGACTGACTTTTCTGGAGCTGACATTCATAGAATCCCAGAATAGTTTGGGTGGGAAGGGACCTTAAAGCCCCCTCAGTGCCACCCCCTGCCATGGGCAGGGACACCTCCCACTAGCCCAGGTTGCCCAAAGCCTCATCCAGCCTGGCCTTGAACCCCTCCAGGGATGGGGCATCCACAGCTTCTCTGGGCACCCTGGGGCACTGCCTCACCCCCCGCACAGGAAAACATTTCTTCCTCACATCTCATCTCCATCTCCCCTCTTGCAGCTTCAAACCGTTCCCCCTCGGCCTGTCCCTGCACCCCCTGATCCAGAGCCCCCCCAGCTCTCCTTTCTGGTTGTGCTGCCAGCTCTCTTCTGGTCACCGAGCCAAAAGCTTGCAGATTCTGGGAACTGTTAGCAAGACAATGGAGGTTTAAATGTTAAATCTGTTCTGCACGTTTCCTGAAAACTAGAAATGTGACTGGATCTGTGAGACCCCAGTTACCTCCCGTGCCCGGGGAGAGCCGCTGTTGTGTGTGTGCCCTGCTGCCTGTGCTCGGGGCAGAGAACGCTCTGGCCCTGTGGATGACCGGAGGAGGCTCAGAGGGACTGAGGCAGTGTGGGGAGAGGTTTGTGTTGTGAGGTACGTGGGGAGGACTGGAGGTAGCAGAGTGAGAAGACCAGAGAGCAGAGGCAATGTCAGCCATGAGAAAAATCAGATCTTCAGTGCCCCTGCTTGCATGATGGCTTTTGTGGTCAGTTTCATTGCAGGGAACTTGTGACTTGATTATTGTACTTTTTTTTGTGGCTGTCTCCCCTTGAAGGGAAGAAAACAGTCTGAGTGATGTCTGGACTGCTGCTAGTTTTGAAAGTGAGGTTTAGCATAAAAAAGGGACTAGAAGTAATGTGTATAGAAGATCAAGTGGAGGACTGACGTGTTTACCCCCTGTATGAGTTACATACATACGTGTAAGTGCTGTGGCCAGTTCCAGATAACCCTGTCATGCTGTTCTGAGACAGAGAGGTAAGAATAGCAGACTGCTAGACTTGGTTTAATTTTTGGTGGCAAAGAAAATGTTTCTTTAACTCTTCTCTCTTTCTGTAGAGTTTTGAGTTAGCATTTGGGTCTGTTAGTAAGAGCTTCATATTAAAACCAGAAAATTTTGAAAATACAAAACCCCAGCATACCCAGCTTTACCTGACATAATGTTATGCCCATTAAATGTCTTTTGACTATTTTTAGCCTTAATGATAGTAATTTCTTGCAAGATGTAAAACTTTAACTTGAATAACCTCACTGAACTGAAATGAACCCTCTGATCCAATTGCACATGTTGCTGCCTTTTAATAATTGCTTCTGTTTGAGGACAGACTGAGTCATAGCTGAATACCTTTGGGCCCTTCAGATTTCAAAGATTCTGTTTATTTTTGAGGTTGCTGTTTACTCTGTTTTGCATGGGCCTGGGCAGTGATGAGCATTTTTAGTCTCTCTTCGTTCTCCTGCGTGCTTTCTGAGAGCAAGTTGAGGTTATGTGCTGCTTAGTGACATCTTCACCCAGCTGCTTGATTCTCCAGACTTTGCCATGGGATACCAGGAGGCTTGGCCCACGGATTGCAGCTGGGAGGATGTATTTGGCCTGGGTGTTACCCAGGGACTATAGTTTAGTACTTTATCACAATAGGGATAATAGGCTCAAAGCCTTTAACTTTTAAATTCTTCAGACGTGTGCAGAATATGGTAATGTTTAATTTTTGTTCTGCAAGTGGGGGCCTGCAGCATTAAATGATCTGAAGAAGTGTAAAGAGTCTGTGGCGGTAGTCCAGCAAATATCAAAACCCATTAGTTTGCACTAGCTAGCCTGTCACCCCCCTCCTTGAAATAGATATGCAGACTTTTTAATTTACAAAAGAAAATGGTGTTGCTTTTCAGATAATTTGCAATCATATGAATATGAACGGATTGCATGTCTTGTGTGAATGTTATAATAATGAATTTCTGTAGAAAATTTTTTAATCAACCTCACCTCCCTCAAACGTGGTCTGAAGCAGTGAAGGATGATTATTTACAGTAATTGGCTATTTAATTCTTATGTCTGAATCTGGGGGTAAAAGCAATGAGCTGTCCTTTGGCCTTAAGAGGAAGTTATACCCCAAGAACCCTGTGGCTGGCAAAAACGGTCTTTTGCTGGGGACACTGACATATTTAGCTAACTTTCAAAAAAGTGCATTTGCTCCAACTGATGCCTTTCATGGGGAGGGGAAGCTAATTCAGTCAGCAGGTTCTGTTAGCTGGTTTGTGCCTATTTTAATTGGTGTCTCAGCAGCAAGCAATTCCTTCTGCCATACTGTGAAAACAGCGGAATGTGAAAAGGGATTAGCAGATCCGCTCACTAGGGTGACTGCTCTCACATGTTGCAGCCTTGCATTGAAGGGACGTTGTCTTTTTTGCTCCCAGTCCCCTGCAGAGCAAAAAGGTTTGTCGGATTCAGGCGAGGACCCCCAGGGAGAGGTTGAGCCCCCCCACCATGGTCTGGGTCCCACAGAACCAGCTGGTGAGCGTGACTCTGAGCATCCTGCTCCTGCTGTTGCCTCAGTCAGTGCTACCCTGAGTCCCGCTTCTGAAGCCCAGCTTGCTCCTATTCAACAAGAACTGGCAGGGGTAAGTGTGAACCTACTGAGTACTTCTGCTGCTGAGCGGATTAAAGAAAAAAGTCCCCTCTGCTAGGAGGAGTCTGTTACTGTTAACTTCAGGTAGTGCAGTTCACTGTCTGTCTGGTTCTTTGATCTCGTTAGTCCCATCGAAGCGGTTGTTTCAATTAACAGAAATTAAAATTTGTTTGGGATTCCCTAGTGGGTGTAATTATAGACAATACATCAAGTATTAATTTTAAAATTTAGGGAGTAAACTGTGTGTTTACTAAGGATAAGAGCCCTTCTAAATGAGCAAGAAAGTGGGTATACATGAGGGATTTGCTTCAAGCAGTTGGAGAAGGATTGGTCACTCCCTCTGAGCCGTGATGCTGCAGCTTGACAAAGCGAGCAGCTAATGCTCTGTTTCCACTGCCTGTAAACAGGACCTTCTCATACCAGCCTGTAGTGGACTTAACTGATTAAAAGCAGCCAGAAATATTCTAAAGCAGAATTTTGAATTTAGGTACTGGGGGGGGGAGGGGGGTCAGGCAGGGGAAAATCAGTGCCTTGAGGTAGGAAAAGCTGTCAGTGCTGTTAAGATTATTTTTTTTTTGTACTGATGGTGCAGCAATATATTTTTGGAAAGATTAGATGACTAAATATCTGCTACCATACAGTCTTTCAGAGCAATTGTAAGTGTTTGTAATCTTTCTGGTTGGTGGACTGTGTTTTCTTGGTGCAGGTGAGTGTCACTGCTCATTGTGACCACACACACTGGGTGTGCACTCTTTGAGTTCTTTGCCTGTTAAGGCTGCTCCACGCAGTGCCTGCTGCCTCTTCCTGCACTAAGCTTTTTTCAAGAATGGGCCATTTCAAGTAAACTTGGTGCAGAATGGTTAGTCATCACAAGGTACAAACAGCTGTAGGCAAAGCACCTTTTGGTGTCCAGGCTGTCAGGTGTTGCTTGATGACCTGCCATAGAAACTTCTGTTTCAATTTCTTTTTGAAGGTTAAAGTTTTCAAGGGTTAGTATTTTAAAGTGTAGCTCGTAAATGTAGTCGCAGACCTTTAAGTCAGTTTTCTGTCACTTGAAATTGCCAGTGTCACTAGAACTGGCCAAGAGGACAGTTAACCAGCCTTCCAGGAACACTGGAGCAAGTGGTCATTATCTTAGGCTTGTTCTTAAAGAGCAGGAAATCTTACCCCAGGTCTAAAAGAAATTTAAGGACTAAAAATGCTGTTGGGGAATGTGTGCAGGAGTTCTTGGCTGTACACAGCAGATACCTGTGCATCCTTGAACTTTTCCATAAATTTAAGTGAGGGGACTATAGTACAACACTCAGCGTAGGCATGTAACTGGCCTTCATACACACTGGCAAGCATTGTTCAAACGATCCCCGTCTCTTAGAGTAAATCTGCCTTTTTGAAATAAGGGGAAGGTTGATGCCTCTTCAGAATGCTTCTACTGGTTTGCCAGAGCAGAAAGTTGTGTAGCCTTCCCAGGACCATGCGAGGATAGATGAATTCAGACTGAGCTCTGAAGAGGAGACGCTGCGTGTTTCTTGGTTACTCAGTACTGTCGGTACATGCACAGGCAGATGTTTTTGCTAAAGTCGTTAACAAGGTGTGGCCAGAGATGCGGCGTCTTGCAGAGCTGCTGAGGATGTCTTGACGTTCCCCAGGCAGCCTACAGCAGCAGGTAGCTGTGCCAGCAGGACTGCCTTGTTTAAGAGGTTCTGGAACAGCTTTTCAGCAACAGCCATGGCAACTCAGTAATGCTCATAAACGTGCAGAGCGCCTGGATAGCAGGCTTGCTGTACTGTGCTCTGAAGTCCTTTTTTATATGACTTCTTGCATCTTAAATGTATTTTTCAAAGATAAACACTGTAAGTGTCCTCTTAGAGATTTCACTTAATTACATGTTCCTTTTTTTTGGCTTTACCTCAATTCTCTGTTGCCTTCCCTGTTTCTGCTCACTGTTGTGAATGAACAAAATCTGCCAAAGTTGTTGAAGTTTGTAAGTTCTTCTCTTAGGCTATTGTAACAACTCTGTGAGGAAGTAAGGGGTGTAAAGCAGCACTGTTTGTATGTCAGGATGGGATGGTTAATTACGTTTATTTGCACTTTTAAAAAGCAGTTGGTAGCCTTTAAAAAGGTAATTTGTAGGAGCCTCTATTTAAAAATAACTAACTTCTCTGTAGCTGGATTTCTACAAGTAAGGGGAGGAGGGAATAAGTGAAAAGTGGCTTTTGTTTTTAAATGAGGAGTAAATTGTAGGCTAGATTTTGATGGTTTAAATGTCTCTCCAGCTTCTAATTTCAAATAACTGAATGGAGAGAAGTTGAGTCCCCTTAATGGTTCCTTCCAGGATGAGATGGTCCTGGCTTTCCTCTCTGCTGTGTGGCGTGCTTGTGTGAAACATCTGTTGCTGTGAAGGACAGGTTGGCTAGCCTGGGAAGAGAGGCCTGAATGGAACAGCTGGACCACAGTTCATTATCCCTAATTGTAATCTGATGTTTTATCCAGTCTGTCAAGTAAACTGCTTGTCATGCCTGTATTCCCCCTGTTTTTGTCGAGTCTCCCCAGCTGCTTCTGAATAAGCAACACTGGTGAGAACTTGTGGGTGCAGCAGTAGCGTACTTTATAGTGTGGCTTCAGAGGAAGATGAAGCTTGTGCCAGTAGAGCAGATAAGTGTGCCCCCAGCCCCTGCCATCTGCCTTGAACCCTCTCTCAGGTTGGACTGGAGATGCTGAGAGGTGTGGAGATCTTACCTCTGGATTCCTCTGTGGTCTGTGGGTAGAGGCAGGCTAGAGAGAGGAGAAAACATCTCCCTGCCTCAAGGATTTGACTTCTCACTGCAGGTTATTGCACATTGCTTGTCATCTAGGTAGGACCTGTGGGAAGTCAGGCTTCATTGGGTCATGTGCATAGAGCTTTATTTTCTTGAAAGCCTTTCTTCTAACAATGAAGGGTTCAGGAATATTTTTCAAGGTCTGTAAGAGGGAACTGGTCATTGGTGAAAGCATTATTATAGTGAGGAAAACCTCCGAGATTGAGGAGACCTGCTAAGTGAATGCCCAGGTAGTGGGGAGTGAACATTGGCAGCAAGTTTTTTAATAAAAGCAAGGAAACAGAGTGGTGTGTGTCTCTTACTGGATGCCAAATGTAACAAAATTAAAAACCAGTTCCCAGTACTGTTGGTAACTCTGCAGTGGAGTAACTCATGCATATTCTCATTCATTTGAAAACAGAAAATAAAACCTAAATCTCTTCAGTGCTCAAGCAGGAGTTTCAGTACTGAGGTGAACATAAATGGGGTTCTTTGCCCTGTCTGTGCTTGGGGATCAGCCTAAGGGACTATGACTTTTTTTCTTCCCTGGTCTTTAAATTCCTGAGTCTATGAAAGATTTAAATCAGTTGCATTTTTTTGGTAGGAGTTGTTTGTAAGGTCTGTCCCAAGTTCCCCAAGCAATAATTCACAGTGTGAGCAGTGTGTGAATGGGTAAGGATGAGAGGTAGCGTACCAAATGATTGAGATATTTAGATGCCTATGTAAGGAAAAATATATTTGAGAGAAAGAGAAGTCCTTTTTTACTTCTCTGCAGCATCTACTTTGACTAGGGTTGGCAAGGTCAGTGACTGCTGTAACATTTTTCCTATGGGCTCTTGCATAGCTTTAATCTCCAAAGAATCTAGGACTAGGAAGTATGGAAATAATTCAGAGTGTACATACTTAGCTCTGCTTTGCCCTCAGTAGTTTACAGAGTTGGTTTTGGATATTGGTGCTCCTTGCCCGCTAAAGCTAGTGATGGTATATTAGTTGTGCTTGTATCAGTTAATGAAATGACAGGGATGTGATGATTGAGCTTGTGCTATAGGGGTTTGACTTTTTTGTCTGACTTTTACTAGACCATTGAGAATACAGCATATATTAGTAACAGCTTAAGTACTTTTTGAAGTTCACGGGGAAATCACTAGTTAATTTTTCAGAATTTTTGTACAGATATCTGCAGTTCCATTCATACAAACTTTTTACCAAATTGTTGCCTTTTGCTTTCAGGATTCTTGCTAAAAAATGAGACAAATTGCTGGTATATAGAATAATAGAATAGTTTGGGTCAGAAGGGACCTTAGAGATCACCCAGTGCCACCCCCTGCCATGGGCAGGGACACCTCCCACTAGCCCAGGTTGCTCAAAGCCTCATCCAGCCTGGCCTTGAACCCCTCCAGGGATGGGGCATCCACAGCTTCTCTGGGCACCCTGGGCCACTGCCTCACCCCCCGCACAGGAAAACATTTCTTCCTCACATCTCATCTCCATCTCCCCTCTTCCAGCTTCAAACCGTTCCCCCTCGGCCTGTCCTTGCACCCCCTGATCCAGAGCCCCCCCAGCTCTCCTGGAGCCCCCTTTCAGCACTGGGAGGTGCTGGAAGG